TTATGAATGGCAGCCTTCTCTCTCGCGTGGTCACCCTATGCCAATCTGTGATGGGTCGGTTACCAAGAACACGAGGGTGAACTCTCTTATTTGCCAGACCATTAGGAATTGGGACGTGGAATTCCTAAGGCCCTTCATCTCCGGCTGTGAGCTCTCTATGATTGTTGATACCCATATTGGTAATGGTGAGCTCATGAGATTGGATATATTGGAGTGGCCTGATAAGAAAAATGGGCATCTACTCTTGTCAAATCTGGTTATCACTGGAAGCATTCCTGATCAGAGGCCATTATCAGACGTCGGCCCTCTTCCTCCATCTTCGTCCTCAATCAGGTTTGGAAATTTATTTGGAAGCTTCACACACCTCCAAAAATTCGTCACTTCATGTGGAGGGCGTTGCATAGGGCCCTGGCTGCCATGGCAGGCCTTTTCCAAAAAAGACCATCTCTCTCCCCAATGTGCCCTCTTTGTTTGGATCATGTGGAATCTGTGGAACATATGCTTCTTCTTTGTCCTTGGGTGAAGCCTGTATGGTATGGAGGCATCCTTAACTTTCGAATGGATCATGCTAAGTTTACCGCTTTGGGTACTTAGCTGCTCTCTCTTATTAATTTGGACCTGGGATCCACTCGGGATAAGGAGATTATTCTTTCGCATGTTGCCTTCAGTTGCTGGCACGTTTGGAAGGCCAGGTGTAATTTCCTTTTTAACCATGGGTCCATCTCTCCAAATCATGTCCTTCTTGCGATCTCATCCTCGTCTGCTGCTTTCTTGGAAGCCAACAGGGAGGTGCATGTGGGACTAAGAGTGGTGCAGGTTGCAAATTCCCCAACTTCTCGTTGGACTCCTCCCTACACCTTTTTTGTAAAGTTTAACGTTGATGCAAGCTGGGATCCGGCCACTACCATTAGGTTTGTTGGGGTTGTTGCAAGGGATCAAGATGGGTGTTTTGTTGCGGTTAAGAGGTTAAGAATTAAGACACCTGGAGTGGCAGTAGCTGAAGTGCAGCTGGGCTTTGGCATGCCGATAATTGAGTCTGACTCAAATGAGACTATCTCATGTTTGTGTGGTTATCCTTTGAATGGCAGTTGGGAGGCTTTTCCTACCCTGGTTAAAATCTTGCGATTTAGGGAGTCTTTCCAAGCTTGTGGCTTGCCTTGGATTCCGAGATCATCCCACATGGCGGCGGATCATTTGGCGTCACGTACTAATATGAAGATATGCGATTTCACTTGGGTCAATCGGCTCCCATCCTCGTTGGTTTATGTTCTCAACAATGATAGGCTGCCATGTCCTCCTTAATTTTCAGTTGGTGGTGCATGGGGTGACGCCTTAGCAATCATTGCAACGTCCTTCCCAATTGTAACCCCTGCACTGCCTTTTATTTGAAGTTTTCTTTTTGTTCGCCACTCTGTGGGCCTTCGTTGTTCCTTTGGCGTTTGCCTGGTAATGTTATTCCCAGTTCACCAAAAAAAAAAAAACATATTTGAAGAGATATACATGCACAAGCTAGAAAGCCAAAGACAGATAATGGTCATCAAATTACACGAACAGAGAGTCTGAAGCTACCTAACCCCCTCCCCTCTCCTCCTTTCTCACTTTTTCTTGCCTCTCTCTATAAAAAAATCAACAAGATATTGACTTGACTTAATCATAAGCGTTCAAACAGGAGATGACTGGAAAGAAGGAAAAATGGGAGAGGAGAAAATCCGGATCCACGTTTAATGCCTTCTAAAGCTTCCCACATAATTAGAATTCAGGAGTTTAGCAGTAGACCGGGTGGTCTATAAATTGCACAGAGGCATTTCCCATTGAGACAGGTATACCATATAAATGTGGGGCATGGTTCACATGTCTCACTAGGTCTTTGCAACTGCAAGGCATTTGTCATTTCAACTTAGTCTTTCTTTCTGTGTTTGTTGTTTTTTTGGACCAATGCGACTTTGTCTTTTGGAGAACTACCAAAGTGACTTTGTTTGGGATGGCAATTTCCCCGCCATTCCCGCCAGACCTTACACCTAATGGGAGCAAGAGGAATATGAACAGCACTATCCGTGACTGTTATTGTTCTATTATTGGTTGGGTAACTATTCGAACATAGCAAATCATTTGTAACGTGCACTTACCAGAAAAATTCTTGGGTGTCAAACATTTTGGACGAAAATGACACGTAAATTTTCAATGCCATATTTTTGTCGAACGATTGGTGGGCTATAGTGATTTGTCGATCAATTGCGCGATTGTTGACAGATGCTGCCAACTCTTCCGAGGGAGTATGTTGACAGATGTTGACAACTTCCGAACGAGTGTCGACATACGCAAGAAAGTACGTCGATAGAGGCCAACAACAATGCACACAAAGCGATGTCGAATGTTGTCGAGTCTCACTCAAACATTTGGTCGAACACCTTATGTGTACAAAGTAGTTACCACCCAGACGACTAGGGGGTCATCGGAGGCATGCTCCAATAATATTTCTAGGCCACCATAGGGTCAATTGACCTGGTTGATACCAATGTTGATCTGCAAGTAATTTTATACTACGTCGTTCCAAAATCGTTCTTTTTTATTTATTTATTTAAAAGCAATATTGAGGTATGAAGAATCGAACTTAAAACTTGAATGCAACATAAATATTCTTAGTAATTTGAGTTCCAAGCTCTTTGTGTTATAAAATGATTTTGTACACCATATTAGGTAGGTCATTACCATCTCTACATGTTGAATCTACTTGTGCAGGAACATAGATTGGCACTACAATTTGTAAATTTAAATCATACTCCAATCCAGCCTATGAATTTATTCTATTTGTGGAGGGAAGAGAGTTCAAGAGACGGAAGGTGATGATGTGAAGCAGTTTCGAATTTTGTGACCCAGCTACTTCGGCCTAAAAAACATCCTGGAGGCCCATCCCAAATTTCCTTCAATTTCAGAATGGCCAGACACGTCCAGAAAAAGGGCCAAACTGGACTCGCAAAAGGTTCACTAAGTAGAATTAAATAACTTCCTCCAGTGATGTGTTTTAACTTAGTTTCTCTGCTCAATTAGTAATAATAGTAGTACTAGCAAGTTTGGGCCGCTCGTAGCCACGAGATATAATCCTCTGAGCTACACGCTACACCCCTTCCCGTATCTCTGGAATCTAACCACGAAATTTCTAGAGATCGCACGAATCCTAGAGAGAAAGAGAGTTCACCGTTAGAGCAACTAGAGAGAAAGAGAGTTCACCGTTAGAGCAAAGGCCACGTAATTAGATCTAAATCTTCGGCGGCAGCTGGCTTTCTTTTTTAGGAAAACTAATGAAAAGGGCTTGAAAACTTTGAGTTTTAATGATAAAGACAAAATAAAGAGTAAAGTGAATAGTACCAGGATTGACTTTTTAGTGTAAAAATATGGTTTTTCGTTAAAGTGAACAGTACCGGGTGCTTTTCGTTAAAATTCCCTTCTTTTTTTGGTACTTACCTAACATTGTCGCCTTTCGACACTGAAAGATCTCGATTCCACATGATAAGGGTTTCAAAAGGCATCGGACAAGTTCTAAGTGTCTCCAAGTTGACATATCACATATGATTAGATTGTTGATTAAGATTAGACTATGATAAAATATCAAAATTACGCCTAATCATCTTCTCCTTTGCTGAAAAATTGAAAATGCAGGCCACCTAGCCATAGGAGGTCACTGTAAACCTTGTCACTTAGAAGATGACGACGTGTACCGTCGTTTTCGGCACCAGTTCCCTCCCACCTGTAAACATTTGACGTCGGTTTTGAGCCTTTGCCAAATGCAAAGAAATTGACATAGATATTTCTGCATGCATGCTTGTTACTTCAACAAGACCTTTTCCATTTGTGTGAACTACGAGGAATGCGATGTTCAAATTTAATTAATTAATTAGTTTTTATCAACAAACTCATTCTTTCAGATGAAGTCTGTGAAGAGTGATGAAAGAATGCAGAGAGCAAAGCACCCTTATGGAGAAGATATCTCCCAACAGACACATCTATTTCTCATACTTGTTGCGAACATGCATTCACCTACTATATATACATCCATCTGCATGGCATTTAGGATACAGAAAATCAACATTCTTCTTCTACAATCACAAATATCATTTTTTAAAGAACCACACAAAAATTCGCCAGAAGTCAAGTTTTTCGGTGATGAAATTCTGACTTGATTGTTGAATTCTGGTGAAGTAAACGTCCGTAGAACTACAAATACTAAGTAGGGACGAAATTTTTGTTTCAAGGACATTACGGTATACAAGCCTCGATCTTCAATAATTTTGTTTAATATTATTTCATGTTAATTAGTTGTTCGCATTTATTATTTATTTTTATCACGGATTGTTGACATATCTCCAACATCCGAGTGGTCCATAACTACTACTAGCTATAACAAGGCCAAGCTTTTCAGGGACGCATGCGTAAACTCCATGTCTATCCTTCTTCGGATAACAAAAAAAATCGCCATCATATATATTCCTCTCTTATCCATCGAGGCCATAAAAAAATAAAATAAAATAAAATAAAAATAAAACTAATGAAAATAGTTTCAAATCTTTGCACTTTAATAAAAAAACCATACACAAACTTTATTAAATGATAAGGACAAAAAGATAAAAAAATAAACATAAAAAATAAAAATTTCGCTGTGCGCGCGTCCGTTACCCACCCACCCCCCAAAAACTCCATTGCAATTTGGGGCAGGTAAGGGGTGGGTCCTAAATTTCAAAACACAAAATGGGTCGGGGCGGGGCGGTTCTAAAAATAGAAGGGAACGGGCCTCCGCCCTGGCCTGTTTTTAGCATAGAATTAAGGAAACTTTAACGAAAAGTACCTGATACTGTTCACTTTAACGAAAAACCACATTTTTACACTAAAAAGTCAATCCTGGTACTATTCATCTTACCCTTTATTTTGTCCTTATCATTAAAACTCAAAGTTTTCAAACCCTTTTCATTAGTTTTCTTAGAATTTAATTGGATTGGAGTTTTATCCTAATCCCAATATTCTCAAATGCAGAGGCTCAGACATAGTCATTTGGTTTCCCTTTCCTCCTGACTTGCTCTCACCATCCCAGTTCACACTGCGATCTCTCCTCCTGACTTGCTCTCACCATCCCAGTTCCGTTCGCCGCCATGATCATCAGACCTCAATCCAAGGTAATTGAAATCCGTTCTCCTCTTTTTTCTATCAATTTATAGCGAATTTCTTCGTGTTTTGTGGGTTTAATTTTTGAATGCATGCACTGAATTTAGATGGGAAATGCAATCATGGTCGATGATCTGGTGCTCCTTGATTTCTAATGTAACCCTAAACCTCTGCTCTGTGTCTCTTCCTCTCACTCACTCTTTCGAAATCAGTCCCTCTGTCGAACTCGAAGGGACGAACGACAAAGTCGAAGAACTAATCATCCATCATCTCCGTCTAACTCAGATTCATAGTTTTTTAAGGTATTATGTTTTGGGGATTTAGGATTGAAAATTATATTAGGGCTTTCTAGATTTAGGGATTTTGTTGGGTTGGGAATCTTAACCTCAGTTCTGTTCCAATTTCAAATCTTTTATTCAAATGATTTAGGTGGATGGGGTCGAAATTAGGATTAAGCAACGGCAGGAGCTCTCCCACCTTGCAAGTTTCCTTCATGGCCCGTTCCCTTCACAGACCACGAAATACAAAGCTTGGCGGGAAGATCAAGCACCACAATATGAACATCAACCTGGGCACTACCATCAAGCTTCACAAACTCATCCCTTTGTTCTTGCTATACAATGCGCTTTCGTTTCGGCTTTACCATTTTTTATAGTATCCTACAAAAATATAACAGTATAAACAAACCCAAATGAACAGAAATGAGAAGTGTCATACTAAGTACTAAGATATACCTACAAACGTGTACCAAGGGGAGAGTGGAGGAGGAGCGCATGACATGTTTGCAAAAGGTGGACTTGCCGGTTCTAGGTGCACCCACCAATATTACTACGACAGGCTTTCCTTTCTTTTCTTCCCCTGTCAAAAGCGCATACCGATTTTGTAATCACCGAAGGTGACGACGACCCAAAATGATATCCATGTCCATGTTTTGGAAGACTCTGTGTGGCACGTTTGAATTAACAGTGTTGTAAGTTTCATAAACAGTGTCGTAAATTTTCATATACAGCGCAGTAAGTTTCATAAACAGTGTAGAAGTTTTATAAACAATATGAGGATGCATGGGTCAGCGCGTCAGATTTTTGTTTTACTATTAAAATTTTGCCTTATTCATTAAAATTTAATTTCTTTTGTCCTTTTTATTAAAATTTAAGGGGTTTTCATTAAAATTTAAGTTTTTTTCATTAAATAAAGTTATAACATGATTTTTTTATTAAAATAAACTTGATTCAAGCCCTTTTCATAAAAGTTCCCTAAAAAAAATGCAAGATGCATGTACTAATTATCTGTAAGTTAAACATCATATTATATTTAAATTTAAGACATCTGATATTACAAACGATGTTTTATATAAACCAACATACTGATTAAAATAATGATAACGTGACATATAAATGAAAAAGAAAATGAACAGTCTGTCTAATTTGTGTCCTAGTAAGGTGTATCTTTTAATTTGGTTTCCCTGTATATGCATGGTATTCGGGGGATGACAACTTAACTTGCAGTTGCAGGAAAATCGGGTGGCATATGGGAGTTGCAGTCGCAAGAAGATGAACTAATATTGGTCATGGTTGTTACAAACTTGGATGCACTTGCCTTAAAATAAAGTAGCATATGTGGACGAGGCTTACACATATCTATACATAAGTATATTTGTCCAATCAGTGCCGACCTACTGAATATTAGTCAGTGGCAAAGATGGATGCCCTCACTTAAATTGATTCTTATTTCGTTGAAGTTATTGGTTCCTATTTTCATTTTACAAAAAAGAAAGAAGCAAAGTTTTTTTCATGTGTTTTTCTTTTACTAAGAGCCACTGTTAGTGTGAAACCTATAGCTTGGTGTTTTCTTTGTCTTTAGTAGGCGTTGTATAAGATAGAATTGACAGTGTTTTGTGTCACTTCTGTTTTGTTTTTGTCTGTGATGATATTTCAGTCACCGTGTTTTTTGTTTTAGAGTTCATTTATAAGTGTTTTTAAAATAATTGAAAAAAAATTTAGAGAAAATATTAGGATTCATTTGCAAGAAGTATTTTAAGTGCTTTTGGATCATTCACTTGCATTTTTTTTACTAAAGATTGTTTCCGAAAACATCTTCATCAAAAGCCACTTTAAGTCATTATAAAAGCAACTCCAAATAGGTCCTTAATTTTTTTTTCCTAATACAAGGATATAGTTACTCTAAAAGATGGAAAGAATAAATAGATCTCAAACTCGCGATCCGCGAGATTCAACTTAAGATCTCTTACTTATACGTGAAAAAGTATACGACTAAACCGTAACAACAAGTGACTAAATTCCGTGTTTTTAAATTTAGTTTTACTCTTAATAGCCACTTAAGTTTGATACTATCTTCGGATGTGTGAATAAAACATCTATTGAACAAAAGAAGTTAAATAATATTTTTTGTATACTATAAACGTAGGTGGTCTCATATTATTGGTTATATTAAGTTGGTAAGACCTAAAATCTAATAAAAAACTAGTTGCTTTGGAGAGAACCTTCCCAAATTAACATGACTCCGATCACATGGTGGCTTTCAATTCACTATTGTATAAATATTGAAAGAGGACAATTCGAAATATATAATAGTTCAACTGGGCATGCAAGTTGTCTTCAAGTGGTGCCAATATGAAGAAATAAAATAAACAAATAAAAGGGATTATGCCGAGTTGGGCAAAAACTAATCATGTGATTATGTGTTAAATTTGTCATTTGATCAACGTTGTGACTTTAAATAATAGTAAAATATGTATAGCTTTTGTTTTGGTCTGATTCTGGTGTTGATTATCGGCTTTGGTTTTAGTTTTGGTTTTGAGCTTTGGTTTTGGATTAGAATACTAAATAATTTGGACGCCAAAAAGAAAAAAGAAACGTACAATTTGTAGTTAGTCATTCAATTAATGAGATTTATAATTGATCAGCGTGTGAACTTTAAACAATAATAAAATATGTATAGCTTTGGTTTAGGTCTGATTCTGGTTTTGATCATCGGCTATGGTTTTGGTCTTGGTTTTGGTTTTGGTTTTGGTTTTGAGCTTTGTTTTGAATTAGCGTACCAAATACTTTGGACGCGAGAAAGAAAAAAGAAACGGACAAGTTGTAGTTTGTCATTCATCTAATAAGACTAATAATTCATCTCTTACTGAAATTGGTACCATGTGAAATATTCTGCAATTAAAATTTTAACTTTGTAAAGTAGACTAGTCAAATAAGCTAGTCAGCTAGTGACAAGTTTATCAGTAACAAAATGTACAGTTGCAAGAACTAAATTTAATTGACTAGTACGTCTAATTGGTTAGAGACTGCTTAGGTTTGTCTCACAACAACAAATTCCAAATTTGAACACATTTACATATTTGTTCATGCAAAGAACAATGACAAAACAACTGTGAATTAAAGTATGTTGGATTGATTAGTCAAACTCATTAGTCAACTAAGTACATATTCATTAGTTAACCAATCACAAATCTATCAATCAAACTTAGTTTCCTACAAGTTATTTGAATGAATAAGAATTCAGTTCATTACTCATAATATGCAGTGTAAATTTAGTCTTAAACACATATCAAATAACAATCCCTATGATGCATGTAACACATGCAATAAATATGATATGTGGACAACTGTAAGTAACAAAGAACACAAAGAAATTAAACTCTGAAAGGTTGACTTGTTATAGAACCAGTCAACTAGATATGAGTTTCCCAGTTACGAGAAACACAACTCCAATAAAATGAACTTACTTGACTAGTACGTCTGACAGGTCAAAATCTACCCATATATCTCTCACAATACAAAATCTCAAGCAAATGCATTATCACACAACTGTTTAGTTATCAAACAACAATTGAAGCTTGTGATATAAAATACGAGATATGTAGGCAAGTTATAAAGAAGTGAACACAACAAGTTTTGACCGAAAAAAAAAAACCCCATCTTTTTACAAAACCGGGGGCCTCTCCACTTAAGTCCAATCCACTAATGCAAATAAGGTTCTTACAAAGTACCAAGCAAAACTCAATTCTTAAACCTAGTCTACGAAGCAATTTTACCTTTGTCCAACCTTACTTCGCACGAGATGAGAATCCCTTCGGTTTTCACGAGGTGACAACTCCTCTTGAACTCTTCACCTTGTGCATTGGAACCAAATCAACCCATGTAGAAGATGTTATGATGATGATGATATGCAAGTCTGGATCAATGGCCAGTCAGTTTCTCCAGTCAAACTGTTGAAAGAAGAAACTAACGAGAATCCAAAAAGGGGTCAATAAACAGATTTAAAACTTGAAGAACTTGACCATGAATTTAATGTAAAACCATGAAGACAATTCAACCCTATTATGAAATAATTAGGTGTTTAATGCATGAAGATGGTTTTGTGGCTAGGTTTTAATGAAGCACACAAAAGGCAGCTCAAAGCTATAAATACTCTTGAGAAAAATATAAACTTCCTAGCTAAAAACACATGAGCTTTTAATAAGATTTAAGCAACCATTTTCATGGATAGTTTTATAAATATTCAATGAAAAACATTACCCAGAAAATCCTTGATGCTCCTAGAGAGATCTGAGATAGAGAGGAAAAACAAAAACCCTCTAAATTATAAACCTTCTCTTTGCTCCAAAATGAACTCTAGAGCCACATTTTTATGGAAGGCTTGAATGTTTTAGACAAAAATGACCAACGGACACGTGCTAAGTGCAAAAGCAATCTACAAAGATCTCGGGTGAAAAATTCACTCTCAGGAAAAAGGTGTTAGTTGACCCATGTGAGCTGTCTTAAAGTGTGTGCCCATCAATTTGGAAAGCAGCGAGAAATTTTAACGAGACAAAACCACTAGACAGAATGAAATGCATATGCATGAACAAACCTTTGAGGTGAGAAGATAAACTCTTGAGAGATTATTTCCAGCAATATGATCTCGTAGTGACATTGCACCATAGATCTAACTACAACATGTGTGGTACCATTTACAATTTTTGACAAAGAAAGCCAAACACAAAATCTAGACGTCACACTTACCAATTTCTAAATCTACAAACTCCATAGGGCATTGCTTTGACTTTGGACCGGTGACAACCTCTCTCCCAAATTTCAAGCCTTTTTCTTCATCTTCTCACGGATTGTTGCATATCAATTTTTCGTCTTAATATCTCCGTCAATTAGTGCTTGAAGTTATTTATCAGTCTTTTAAGTTTATTTTGGTTTGTTATCGACTCCTTCTGAGTCTACTTTGTTGAAATTCATACCTTTGTTGATTATGTTGCACACGAGTATGCAATTCTCTGTCTTCGTTTGTGACCATGTTGGGTGAAAGGTAGTTGTAGAGGAGCAGCTGTGAAACGGTAGCTCCCCCAAATGTTAGTATGGACACTAGTTAGTTTGTTGTCAGTTTATATTCTGAGTGAGCATTGCTCATTCTCAAATAGTGTCCTCTTGTTTGTTATATTCATAGTTTAGTGGGTAGAAGTTCTCAAATTCTAATTCATGAAGTACTTGACTTTTTCATCAAGAATAAAGTTCCTTTGGTTTTGGAGTGTCATCTTAGTCATTTGAGTTTGTGTGTAAATGATATCAAGACTTGGATCGTTCCTTTGTTTATTCTAGGGGTATCTCGCCCTCAAATCCATTAGTATAGTACGGTGACAACTAGTTTTGCCAAGTTAGCCTTTTATATTTTGTTAAAGTTTGTTTGAACTGATGACCTCTTGGATGTTATAGTGAATGTTTTCTTTAATATTTGTATGAGTTATTAATTTTATCATAAAACCACTAACGTTTTGTCTATAAAAAAAAGGGTAAATTACATAATACCCCCTCAGGTTTGAGATCTATTACAATCTCATACAATATCTTTAAAACATTTCACTTACATACCTCACCTACTATTATATTTCAACATAGTACATCTGTTACATTTTCCATCCATTGATCCATTAAGAACTGACGTGGCTGCCACATTTGTACCACATAGCTACCACCTGTGTGCCACGTGGCAAAAAAAAATTTATTTTAAAAACTTGAATCTTTTGGAAAAAAAAAAAAAACCAAAAATCCTCTTATTCTTCCCCACTAGAGCCCATCCTCTTCTCCCAACCACATCACCCACCCTTACCCCGAGCCCACCCCCATCTCCCATCTCTCATCCCCTATCACCCATCACCCATCACCCATCACCCATCACCCACCCTTACCTGAGCCCACCCCCTTTTCCCATCTCCCATCACCCATCACCCACCCATTTACCTTACTGACACCAGCTGTAGTGGGCGTGAAGCCGCCGGAACCCACCTAGAGTGAGCACCACAGATCTTAACTGCTGGCTGCCTTAGTCGGTGTTAGTGGTGGTTGGGGTTTGAGGGTAACCACCTCAATCTCCTCATTCTTTTTCCATTTAAACCACCCATTCAAACTTCAAACAAATTTAAAAATGACCCCTGGCTAATTTGGGGATTCTAGGGATTTGGGGTTTTGGTGGTGGTTGGCAACCAATTTGCAGGAAGTGGGTTGGGGTCCTGCCATAGCCTCAAATTTCATCAACACCACTACTGGTTCGTCATTTTTTTGTTATGGGGGCGAAGGTAACCATATGGATGCGATGGGTAGGGGATGAAGGTAGTTGCAATGGGAAGATGAGATTGTTGGCTAGGATAGGGTGGAGGTAGTTGCTCAAAGATTGTTGGCTATGGTCAAAGTCTAGATCTTGGAGTTGGAGCTGCCCACTCTCTTCACTGCCCTCCTCATCCTCAGGTAGGTTGGCGCGGAAAAGATGATGGTTTTGAATTTTGGGAAATAAAATTTCAAAATCCATGAAATTTTGGGGGTTTT